TGAGCGGGGCCGCCGGGCGGGCTGGCGCTGAGCCGGGCCGACATTTCCTTGCCTTTCTCCTCCTTTGCTTGCCTTTCTCCCTCAGGACCCGAGCGCTGGCATGAAAACTACCCGATGGCCAAGGGAGACAAGCAGTCGCCCATTGAGATCAACAGCAAAGACGTGCGGCACGACACTTCTCTCGGCCCTTGGCACGCCAGTTACGATCCCGGGGCAGCGAAAACCATCCTGAACAACGGGCGCACCTCCTTCGACGACACTTTTGATCGATCAGGTCGGTTTTTGGTTTGGCTTTTGGGACTTGTTAGGAATGGAGGTCTGCAAAGCTCAGGGAATCCAAATGCATCCCGTGGTACCTGTCCTCTGCCAGCTGGCAGAGTCATTTGGATACGTAAAAAAGGTGCTCCCAGGAGTCATTCCGGTGGAGCCAGGTGTGCTCAGGTTCAGCATAGGTGGGACAGGGAGGCTGTAGCTGCAGGGGTGCCCCTGGCATGTGGACTCAGCTGGAAGGTGGGCTTCTTTTCCCCAAACCACCCCCTTCAGTGCAGACCCACCATCCTTGGGTTTTGTGTGAGGGCAGTGAGTGTCACCCAGAGGGGTTTGGTGCCTGCTCTGAGGCCCATCGTGAACACAGAACTCGTGTGTTTCCACTGACTGTGGTTTGATTTCTTCAGTTTGTCTGGGAAATCTTAAGATGCTCCACAGCCTGAAAAAACTGTGAAAATAGCATTTATGAAAATAAGCATTTCAGAGCTTCTGGAAAGCTGTGAAATTGCTTTGTTATTTAATTCAGAGAGAGCTGTCTCGCATCTGTGAGTTAAATTGTTCAAAACCTGATTCCAGAGCTGTATCCGTGCGTAGTGCTGAATGCAGATGGGCCACAACAGTCAAAATGAATAATAAATTCACAATACCATATAATACAAAGACATCTCAAGAGCATGCAGTATTGATCAGTTCTTTATCAAGAAGGAAAGCAATCTAATTAATGGACAGAGTTACTTTCCATTGTACTTTCCTGCATCAGCTTTGATGGCATTTTTATTGGGATTTTGTTCTTACTAAGCTCTATAATTAATGAAATATATCTGCAGAACATTGAGAGATCACTCTCTCTCTTGTTTATCTTGATGAGCTCATTGTTCCTTTGGACTCCTTTATTTACCATTACAACTACCTGTTATTGTTCCACATCTTGTACATGGAATTTAAACTATTTAGGACAGGAACCATATCTTTGTTATGGATTTGTATGATGATTTAGTATTTATTACCACAGTTTCTACACAGTGGCCTCAGACAAATCATAAATTGAGCTTTTGTTATGACACCGTATGCTCTTACACAAACACTGCATAAAATCAATGCCATGACTGGAAGCATGGAAGTAAATTGATTATGAACCTTTTTACATGGCAGTTCTGCTCTGTCTTCTTTGCAGCTTCCTAAAGGCTGAAATGTTTAGACAGAGGCTACTCAAGAACATATCTGCCTGGGGAATTGTGTTGGAGAAAGACCCTGATTTGGCCAAGCAGAGTGCAGCCCTTAGTGCAGCCCTTTCTCTAAATTTAAATTTTCCCTCTGTTCCCTCCCTGCCTCTCCCCTCCCCATCATCTCTGTTGTTCCTCTGGACACCCAGTGTGCACATTCACTCACTGCTGCTGTTACTAACTTTCTGCAGGCTGCGGGACAATAGTTTAGGACTCAAGCCTTTCATAGGGATGTGTCTGATTGCAATCAAGGACAATGTTTGACTGGTCTGAAAAACCACATGAGAAAGCATTTCATAAACATTTTGTTGCCTTCATTTGTTGGCTTCTGCGGCGGTGGCAGCAGCTGAGGATAAGCAGTAGTCACAGATCCAATTTAAACTGGAAAAAAAATCTGTCTTGAACATAGCCTTTTTTTACTCTAATCACATGGAAAATTTTGAATGTTAAAATGATTTATTTTTATGCTAGAAAGATCTGTATACTCTTATGAAGTGCTGTTTCCAAATGCTTCACAGTATTTGAGCTCTGAAAAGGGCCACCTGTAAGAAATGACTGCTAAATGAGTTTCCAACTCTGATGTTGATTTAGCTTGTAAATGTAGGTAGATCTCATAAATTCAGCTCCTGAGAGTTCCTGCCTCCCATTGATTCGAGTGTGAAGTGGAAGCAAATACTTGTGAGGATTTGGGCCTTAGAGTCTTATGCCTTACTTTTCCTACATTCAAAAGCAAAACAACAACAATAATATTAATAATAATAAAGTGACGTATTTTCCACTGAAGGCTTCTACAGAAGGCTTACTCAATACTGTATTGAGTTAGTAATGATAATTTATTTCTGTGTGAACAAACTCAAAAAATAAGAGGAACTGCCTGCCTAAAACCCAACACAGTGCTTTGTTTCTGCCCCTCAATGGCTGTGACACCTGCTGACTAAAAAGAGAAACTCCAAAGTTAAAGCTCTTGCTCTGTGTAGGTATTCCAACATGTATGATATCAAGAATTAATTTGAGACCATTGGGCACAAGAGGGTTTAAATATTATTTCAATGTTAACTTTGAACTTCAAAGCTATTGGTGGAAGTTCAAACTTGAATGCTATTTAAACAAGGTCTTCTGGCACTGCAGTTGTGAACTGCATTATCAGCTTTCTGTGTAAGGAAACATGTCTCATTCCTGCCTTAGGTAACGAATGAAAAGTATGCTTGAGAGCTTATCCTCTAAGTAGTCCCTGCTCAAAAGAATCCCCAAACTGAAAGAGCAGGTGTGATGTTTTGAAAGTCAGAAGTGATGTACGCTGTCAGACATTATTTGGCTAAGAACAGCAGAAATAACAGGTTTTTGTTTCATTAGTGGCAATGTTAAATGTGGACTATAACTTTTGCTTGCTCAAGAACACTTTTCTAACTCATTTGACCTAAACTTTCTTCTCTTCCCTCACTTTCAAGAAATAGATTTTTTTTTTTTTTTTAAACACAGCAAACTCTGCTGTAGCCATTGTTTAGTTGTCTGAACCGTCAAAGGTATGCCAGTCATGGACTAGAGGGACATTTCAAAGCACCTTTGTGTTAATGTCACAGTCCTATCACCAACCATTTCACAACAAACCATTTCTTGACAAGAATCAGCTGTGAATACCTTCCTTCTCTCTCTGCATCAGGAACTGTAGTGTATCCACTGGCCAAGAGAAAAAGGGGCTTGTTGGGCAGCTGGGGTTTGATTCTGTGCTTGGCTGACAGCAGCTTCCCCAGTCTTCACATCAAACAGGGCTCTTCCTGCGTGGTAACAGAATTCAGCTGCAATCTTGTAAACTGGTGAGTGTTGTGACTCCCGCTGCAATCAGTTGGATTTAAAAGAGGTGCTCCACACTTTTAAAGTATGGGTCCCTGGTCAGTAAATGTGTATGTCGGCGTCTTGTAGGCTAGTGTTGATGCAGATTATCAATTGCAGTGCTGAGAGGTGGGCCACTCACGGGAGCCTACCGGCTGCGACAGCTTCACTTGCATTGGGGTTCCTCTGATGACCATGGCTCTGAGCATGTTATAGATGGGGTGAAATATGCAGCAGAGGTAGGACTTATTTTTAATAGTTGTATTAAGTACTAACTGGAATTTGACTGATTGTGCATCTGAACAGATTAACCGTTCTCCCTTTTGCAAGTGTTTAGCTATGGATTTTTCTCTAAAATCTGTCTATGAAACTTGTGAATATTCGTCAGCGTGCAGTGGGATGAGTTGCATCTGCCAACAAATGTAATTTGCTTCTTCAAGCAAGAGTTTTTGCTGGTAGTTTAGAATGGTTTTGAAATATTTGAGACAAAGGGATCTGTTATTTTAAAATAAAAAGATCTGTTTTCTGCTGATGTTTTTTTGGCCTTTAGCCATTTCTGGTATAGCTTGAATTACTAAGTTAGTTTCAGAAAGCATTGCTAATGAATAGAAAAACTCACTAAAAGCACATTTGATAAACTGACATTCAAAATTAGATCCACCTTAAACTGATTAAGAGTGGTGAAGAGTATCTTCTAGTTTCTGAACATCCGTGCTTTAAAATCTGTGTTTATTTTTGGGAACTGTGGAAGACAGATGTTTGGGGTTTTTTTTAATGAAACTACTGCACTATTGTCCACATTTGCTAAAATTAATGGCTGCTCTAGGCCCTGAAGACTTCTTCAGGTAATAAATACAACTGAACTCACTATTAATGCTGGTGAATTACTAGCAAATGTTGCCTTCTTCCTCCATCTTATTTGAGAATAGGCTCAAAATATATGCCTACACCCACAAAAAGTCCGCCGTAGTGTTTCCCTGCCTTCCACCAATATACACGAGGTGCAGAGCTTACAGCGGCTTTGCCCACCCTATCGTAGGAGAAAATTTGGGCAGATATTTTGCAGGGTCAGTGTGCACAAACATTGCAGAGATGACTTTGGGTGATGGCTTGGTTTTTTTTTTCTATACCTTAGCCACAGCCAAACTGTGTTAGTGTTCTACTTTCTGTGGCCAACTAAGCAGACAAATTCTCCTTTCTCAAGCTATTTCTTGGTTACTTAAAACACAAGCTTTGCAGTACTTATTGACAAGAGCAGAAAGCCTGGAATGTGTGAAATTCTGATAGAATGCAAGCAAAGATATATGGCTACTCCACCTTTATCCTTTGCAATTATATCCTTATCCTCAAGAGAAAAGAAACAGAGAACAATACATTACTTTATGTTCAGAGCAAGTTATTTAGTTATTATTTTAGATAAACATTACTGTGCTTTTAAAAAAATGTTAAAAATTTACATTCAAAGTATGCACCGGGCTCCTTTTTTTTTTTTTTTTTTTTTTTTTTGGTATGGTAGTATGTTCCAGATGCTACTTAATCTTGAGATTCCATACTGTTGGTTGCAGCATTTGATGCTATATGTAGAAGACAGAGATTTTCTGGAAGGAGATATAAAAACTTGAAATATATCCTGAAAACGGATCATTGTGGAAAGTAGAAATGAGAAAGAAATGCCAGGTTACTATGCCTACTCCTTTACAGTGCAATGTGCTAAAAGTAGTAAGAGATACAAAATAATAATGTATGCACTGCATACAGCCCAGTGTAAATCCTTGAGCTGATATCTGCATAACCTGAAGATCTAAAAGTCTACTTTGAGATGAAGTCCATGTCAGTAGGGGTTTTATGCACTGCATGTGTGCATGTCCTGTGCTTAGGTTAAACTGTAGTTCCATTGTCTAATTAATTTTTAGATGTGTTGTGTGGTAAACTCCATTTTCTTTCTTTTATGCTTCAAGTAAATGCAAAGTGATGCTTTATAGAAAGTGTGAGCGTATGGAAGCATGGGAACAGCAATAGGAAATACTTACATATAGTTTTATTTTTTTGTGTCCATTCCTTTACTTCCTGTGTACTGGAAACTTTTCTTAATTTAATTTAAAAGCTTCTAAGATTGTGCTGTTGGTGGTTTCTTGCATTTATAACTGAGGTTTCATTGTTTTTCAGTTACATATGGTGCACTGGAATCCAAAACATGGTAATTTTGCTGGAGCTTTGAAACAACCTGATGGTGTGGCTGTTGTGGGTGTTTTTCTGAAAGTAAGTGGCAAATATTCAGTCTTCATCATTTTCTGTATTTTTAATCTTTCTCTAGTTCCAGGGAAAACGTTCCCATCGTTTTTCCCTGCACTGTATCATTTTACAGGAAAACATTCAAAGCAGTGTAAAGACCGAAGTCACATATGTCCTTGGGCCCTCCAGATTCCATCTACTAACCTGTTCAGAACTGACTTCTGACACCATTCGTGATACCAGTGGCACATATCATGGGTGGTATTGAACAAGAGACACACAGCTTCAAGCCTGGGACACTTGCTAACTTTGTCCCTGGTAGCTGAACAGCTCTTTGCTGTGGTGTGCACTGAGCGAGGAGGACAGTCTGCACAGGAAGAGTGTTTCCTCCTACTGTTTATCTGCTAGTAGGTATTCCATCTGCCTGTCAGTGAGGTTATGTTGACTGATTCCCTTCCATGGTCTCTGGCTGATCCCTACATAAGCTGGGAATCAAAAGCTGTTCAACGAACCTGCTCCAAAAAGACGTAATTGATGGTAAAAGAAGTTCACTGAACATTTTAGCCTTGAAATTCAGCAGCTTCATAACAAAATAATACGGTACCAATATTTTCCAATTGATTTTTCTATAAACTTGACAGAAAGCGTTCCTACTATCAAATCTGCATGTGGATTAGGGCACTGAGAAACACTAGTAGCCAGGCAATTTAACAGTGGTAAATTATGCAAACTTCACCTATGTGTCTCTCATTTTACCTGCAGGTGGGCATTTCAGCTTGAACATGGTGTCGGAGAACAGTTCTCCTTTTATTGTCTTATCACTAGTAAGCTGCATTCAAACAAGCAGTAGCAAGTGGATGTAATTAATTTTGCCACAGGACAGGCTAGAATGAATGTCATTTTAATTCTGTTCTACTGTGAGTCAGCCTGACCTTTTTTCCTTGTGGTTAGTTTAAACTGAAGGTCAGCATCTGTCCAGGTTCTCCCCTATGATTGTGTCCTTCAATTATTCTTCCTGTGTCATTTCTTTTGGTCTAATTTGGGCTAAAGCTTTATCTTGTAAAACACAACTTACAAAGCATAACATTATGTTCCTGTTAACCATTATAAGCTCAGCTAAAAGGTCTAGAAAAGTAAGTAGTATCACTATGTCTTCCCTGGCCTTCTTTCCCTTTTGCCTTCTTACGCTTTGGCATAGGAGCTGTTGTTTCACTCTGGGTTTGTCATGTTCCATGACTGGGTTTTTGCATATTGGTAAAACAGAGATTGCATTATGTCCTAAAGAATTGAATTTAATCTGTTTTGGAACAAGACTTGGCAATAACAGCATGTCTTATGCATGCTGTCTTTACTCTTCTGGGATGCAGAGCCATGTCAAAGCTTTTGAAGGTGCTGAATGTCATGAACACAAGCAATAAAGTGATGCCATAGCTTGAGGAGGTCATGGCATGAATCTCATCAGATGTCTTACATCAAGTCTGATCTCACTGCATATGTGCTGCAGAATGTTTGAAGTGTCTGCAGGAACTCCAGCTCTTCAGACTATCGACACTTTGCTGAGTGCTCATTCGTCTCAGTGGTTGTGGATTGCTTTCAAACCAGGAGCCAAGGGCTAGGCCCTGGAGGGTGTAGATGATGCTGTCTGAGTGTGCAGTTTGTTCCTCAGACAGCGGGAGGTGCCTTCGAGAGCCCTTCAATGCATTTTTGACTTGCAAAGCCAGTTACTTGATACTGCTATTCCAGATATTCTTTTAAAATGGATGCACGCACATGCACACACACACTCTCTCTCTCTCTTACTTTTCTGTCAGTCTGTACTGGATGTTCCGAGAGTAATGCAGCCTAACTTGACAGATGGATGTCCTGAATTTCTTTCAAATGCTGTGGAACATGATGAAAACATACACGACTTGTGCTTTGCATTACAGGTTGGAAAAACTCCCAAACCAGAGATGAAGAGAATTCTTGAAGAAATTGATAACATTAAGACCAAGGTATCAAAACAATTTTGGTGATAAAATGTAGTTGAAAAGCAGCAGAAGCAGAAACCAGTTCAGATTCACTCTCTTTGGCATCATTCTGATACCTAACAGTAGCACCAGAGGTGATATATTGGACTGTGGAGCAGGACACATTATTTTACTTTAGTAAATATATAACTCCTCACTTGTCTAAGTATTCTTGTAGAGGATTTTGTGTCGATCCTTGCATGCACAATTGATAGTCTTACTGATACTGCTCTGTAAAAATATGCTAGTGTGCAAATATCCAGAAGAAATTAAAAGCTTTGAATTTGAGGAAAGCAGTGGCCAAAACAAATGCATATAATTGAGTCACAAATTTAGCTAGTATGAAATGAGAAGAAACTGGTAGGAATGATGGAGCAAGCTCCCAGTCAGTGTAAGGGAGAATAAAAGCTTCATTAGTTTCAAGATGGAACTGAAATAATTTATAAAAGGGATTACACAGTACAGTTTCTGCACGAGTCCTAGGTTCTGTCGTCTGATGATACTAGCACAATTATCATTGCAAACCTATTCTAAACTGCTTTTCAGTTTGATTAATGATTGAAGGACCAAAGTCCATACCTATTGCATAGACAAAACCGCAGAAGAGTTCTTTGCCGAAAATTGTGATAATGCATCTATTGATGTTTAACATTCTTACTTAGCATAAACCTAACCTCTAGGTATACCTTAGCAATTCTACTTCATGATAAGCTTTATGATTCTAATGATGCTAAAAGAAAACTCTCTTTTTTTAATTTGACATTTAACATACCACTAGATCACCAGGACTGAATTTTACAAACTTTTTTAGCATTTTCTTCCAAATTTAGCAGAATTTCTTGCATTTAATTTAGTATGTATGTGCTGCCACTGATGTGCGTGTCTAAGCCTGAAATCTGCTCTCTGTTCACTCAGAGTCATACTAATTTTTTCAACCTTTTCTTAGTTTTCATATACAACTCAGCTCTTTCTGCTGGGGAACTGAAGGTCATTTTTTGTCCATTTACAGGCAGAAGAGCTTTGTCACAGTTAATAAAAAGTTGATCAATCACCCTGTGAAACACTGTGTCATATAATGATGACAAGGTGGCAGTGATACCGCATCTATTACATTCTGAGACTGCCTAACCGCAGATTTTATGTCTTCTAACAGCAAAAAAAATAGAAGTCTGATTTCCTACACACAGATGTTCTCTGGAAAAAGCAACAGTTGAAGAAAAGCAGAGAAAGATAGGCGCATATGCAAACAGCCCATCTTGTATTTTATGTCTTATTTTCTTTCCTGTCATCACATACGTTTTACCAAGATTACATATTTTTCAGGAAAGATCGATGGATGGTATCACCAGCGTATTTATCACACATACAGTTTCAATAGCTGTGATACATTACAGGCAGTTGTTTCTTGGACACTGTACTGTATTTACTGAAGAAGCACAATTTTGTTTGTGATGTTGTGTGCAAACTTACCTTGAACTTACAGAATAATTTTGTCAGGAAGATATATTTGGAGTCTTTATGTTATTCTTTCTACTGATATTTTTTTATGAAAATATTTCAGCTCCTCCCATTGCATTTTGTAGGGTAATACTCTGTTCCCATCTAGAGAAGATTCTCCATGATGGGAGAAGAAATTAGATTTTGCTTTCCAGAACTGCATCGTAAATACCAGCAGAGAACGGAACTTTCTTTTTTAGTTCTTGTCACCCTGAGGAGACAAGGAAGTCACATTATACTTCTGTGGAGATATTCTCTTGAGTATCCTATTCAGTGGAAAAGAAGAACTTTTCCGAGAATGTTACCTGATGTCTTGTCTGATAATCACCTTTAGTTTTAGACATTCAAGATCCAGTACTCTTTGAGGAAATATTTTAATTTTTCACACTAACTGTAATCGTGCCAGCAAAAGGATTGAGAGTGTCACCGTGACAATGTAATTAGGGCACAATTTTGGGAGGAGATGCAGTTTTGAATTCAGATAGAGGACAAGACTGTAACAAATCTGGGATAAATGCCTGGCCACTGTTCTACTGGATAAAAAGGGTACTAGTACCTGTGGTGCCGCAGCCTTTACCTTTTATCCTAAGTGACCCAAAATAAAATTTTTATAATTCCAGAATAGAAAAATGTAACACTTTGTTTTGGTCCCACACGATTCAGTTTATAATTTTTTTAAATTTATTAATGTAATCAAAATGTCAGTTATTATTAATTGCAGGGCAAATGCCTGACAGGAAGAAAAGGAGATTGATCTCTTGCGTGAATCTTGATATATAATTGCTGCCTTTTTAATACCATAGATACTGATGTCTTTTAAGATGCATATCCCTAGAGTCACTGCAGAGAATTCTTTTTTGTTTCTGTAAGGGGAAAGAGGCTCCTTTTCACCACTTTGATCCTTCAATTCTTTTCCCCAAATCTCGGGATTACTGGACCTACCATGGTTCGTTCACTACACCCCCCTGTGAGGAGTGCATCACTTGGATTCTCTTGAGGGAGCCAATTGAAGTCAGCTCAGATCAGGTAAACTCCAGCTAGTTCTGCTACTCCTTTACCAGTTCTCACCAGTGTCTCAGTATGTCAGTGCGATGGTTTGCAGGCCATGTGTTACCTTGCCTTTTTTGATAAGGAAAGCTATAGCTGAGGACTGTGAGAAATAGCCTGCAGAATGGGCTGTTGAAATGGACTGTAAAACTGACCTTGAGAATCGAGCTCTCTTCCTAGACACCTTCTGGCTTAACTTCACCAGGCATGTTCTTGGGATCCTGAAAACCTGTGTAGGCAGAAATGCTCTGAAGACACAAAATTCATCCATCACAGCAGCCTCAGTTCACTCTCTGTGCTTCAGCATTAAGTGGCAAGTGAGGCTAAAGCTTTAGCTGTTTTCCCAGTTTAAGAAACTGCTGATCCAGATCTTGACTTCCTAAAAGCTGTCAGAAGGATCAAACTATCTAGAACCTGCAAACCTGAATGTTAATACAAATTAATGTACTAATTCTGTTCATATAGCTCAAATGTGCATTTACACAGGAAAAAGAATAGAGAGCAAGTCTGGATAAGGTGACCTTCTTTTTAGTTCTTGACTTAAAACTGTTGGTTATTTATACTATTTTCCGCTTCAGCAGTACAAATTGGGATATAGCCTGTTTACTGATTTGGCTAGTTTCAGAACAGATTTATTTTGCATTTTGAGGAAAGGGTAACAATTAACAAAGCAACACTGAATTTAAATTAATTTGGAGAACACCGGCTAGTACTGAATTAAGGACTGAACTTGATAATCCAGTTGGCATACAGTTCTCTGCCTTACAGAAGAAAGTATGAACTTCTGCAGACCAGCTTTTTCTATCAGACTACCTTGCATAGATTTAAATGTGCATCCTCCTTCATGGGCAGCCACATTTTCACAAGTGATTTGACTGCAGTCCAGCTCCAGGAGGGTCACAGGAGGCCCCTACTCTTTTTCCACATTGTGAGTGTGGGGCAGGGGAAAATCCAAAAGAAGCCCAGGCAAGGGTCAGATGATGCACTGTTCTGTGGATGAAGAGTATAAAGATCCACAGAAACAGTGCTAGCTGTTGAGCTGCACTGATCTCTACCACTAATATCTATCAATATGCTTGTCATTATATAAGAAAATTCCTTTTCTGTCTCGGAGCTTGTTCAGCTCAAGGTCCACACTGCTTCCAGGTAAATTCACATGGACACTTTAATTTTTCTTCCTTGCAGATGGCGAAGCTCCGTAGCCTTTGAACCTGTGAACCCACTGGTTGATAACTGGCGCCCAGTTCAGCCTGTGAAGGGCAGGATAGTGAGAGCCTCGTTCAAGTGAAGTCTCAAGTCTCCCTCTGGTGAACCTAAGTGAGAAAATCCCTGTGTTCCAAAGTGTAGTTAGTTTTTGCTGTCCACTGCTTTTCCTCTGGACCCAGATCTGTGTTTCTCTGCTTGAAATTGTAAGTGGTAAAACTGAATTTTGAAAGCAGAAAAAATACTGTATGCAAATGCTAACCTTAATAAGGAAATGTGAGATATACGTGATTCTTGACCATAAGTGCCTCAGCATTTCTGATAGTGTCACTTCTCTGCCAAGTAGTCTTGGAATAAAAATTGTCTCAGTTCCAATATTTAAAATTAATTCCAAAGGAAATGTAGTAAAGACAGAAAAATGAACCAGTAGTTCAGGAAAGCAGAAATAACAGTGGGTCAACAGTACATGAACAGGAGGTTAAAAGCCTGTTCCTACAGCATCTCTAGTAGTGATCTTCCTCAGATATCCCACCTCCAGTGTGAACATACAAAGATTAATGTCCTCTTTAACATACTGGATTTCTCCTTCGCTCTCTTGTTAATAGTTTATTTTTCAAGATTAGATTAGCACTCTGGGGATACAATCAGGCATACTCAGTTTCTGTGTGTGAAGAAGAAAAGATACCTTGCTGTCATTTCTGCATTTGCTGTCTTTGCCATGTCCTGCTGCTGTGCATTGATCTTTTCTTCTTTCACTGCTGCTGTTACTTCACCCATTCAGAGTGCTGCTGGTAGCATGCTGCCTTGTATTTGATACAGCAGCTTTAGGATTGCTGAGGGGGAAGTGGCCTTTCTTCTGCTGCTCTCACCTCCCAGGATGATGGATTTTTAGTTTTGATGCTCTGCCTGTTTTTTTTATTTTTGACATCTTAGTCTGCATATTAAGGATTTCACCTATTAGGGATTTTGTTGCATATGGGAGAGGGTCTTTGTGGATGACCCATATGTGTCATTTGTGTTCCCCACTACTGAAAAAATACAGGTTAAGTCACCTGTCTGTCTGTTGTGACTCTGTGTAGTTAGAGACCCTTAAGTGGAGTCTGTTTAGCTCTGTTACTTTCTGGGGAGATACATCAGCTTGCACGTACTATCTGAGCAAGGAATCACTGGCAGACAGAAACTTTTAAAACATCTTCCCTGCTCTTCATTGTGTAAACTTAGTATTTCAGCATGCTTCCTGAACAGCGTGACACAAGTACCATCTAGGTTGAACCCACATGCAGACTATGTGAGTAAAGATCTGCGATGTTACATTCACCATCAGGGTGATTATTCAGTATTGCACATACTGGAGGCTGAGTGCTCAAAGGTAGCCCATAAAGCCTCCTGCAAATGAAGCTTCTGGATTCTCTGTATTCCTCTAACTCATTAGTAGGTGGCAGAGGGCGTTCCTCTGGAGATGTTGCCACAAACATGTTTACAGCAACATTTATAAGGGATATGTCAAAGTCTGAAAAAAGCAGGGTTACAAATGGCTAGAACAGGCATTTCCCAGTTCTCCTTCACTATTTCACTTTTCACTTGTACTAAAAAAATGGTGTTCCAACAGGGAAGTAATGAATGGGCAACACTGGACAAACTCTGCTGTTACTACCAGCACAATTCAGTGAGAATTCAGGAATGAAACTGAGGGAAGAATTTGATCCTTTGTATTAATTTAGAAATGTTGGAAGAATTGCTGAATTCCCACTGAGAATATTTCAGTTTAATAGAAGTGTATTTTGCTTAGTATAAAGCAGTTTCATTTTAAAAATCAAGTTAATGTCACCAGAAACTAAAATACTGATTGAATCCCATTTACAAGTGTTTAGGCATTGGCTTAATCTTGTCAGAAGATCAGCTTTTGATATTATGAGTGCAGCACTTGCAATTATACTAGTTTTAATAGCCTCTTAGATTTTCTTTAAACTCCTGAATCTGTACATCTTCTCAATGGATAAAAATGTTTCTACAGAAAGCTCATAAGCAACTTTTTTTTCTACTGTATTATGTCTTACATGTAAAATTTCTTCACATAGCCATATGCAGTTGATCTTGGTGTTGAGAAAATTTCGACACAAATAACTGAGACAAGAGCTTGAGTCTTTCTACCTAAAAGTCATTGACTGTGATGTTTTAACCTCATGTTATTGGGGCAATAAAACCTGATTAGTTGCCTGCACTTGAAATAACGGCTTCAATAAATTATTATAAAATTTCTTTCTGGTTTTATTTCTAATGCTGAGTGATGAATGAAAGCAAGAAGAACTTACTAGAAAACCTTGCTACTCTTTTCTTTGATACGTATGCTTGTAATACAAGGGTATACAGACACTCGTAATCGCCTTTTTTAGCTGTTGGAGTTTAGTTTAATATCTCATCCTGGTTTATGTGTATCCAATCAATCAGATCTTCAAAAATATAAGACATCAGAACAGCATCATTTGTTCCCTGTATTCAGGTACAAAAAAAGTGTTTATTTCTTGCCTGGACACAAATATTCTCTTACATCTTCCCAAAATTCATACATTCATGTATGATCTTGAATGTCACTAACTTGGAGATGAATTTTGGTTTCTTGCAAGGAGCCCATGGATCATTTAGCTGAAGTGTTAAATCATGGTGAAATTTGCTGATTAATTTATACTTTTTAAGCACACAAATTAAACTTGTTAAAGTAAAATTATAATTGCCCACAAAATCAGATATTGAGTCCTCTTTGCTTTACTTGCATCTTTCCTCCACTGCTTTTGAAAGGCAGAATGAGCAGAAGGTTATCAACTACTGACATAGTAGTTTTGGTTCCAGCAGCAAACACATGCTTTGTATGTTGGCACAAAGGAAAATGCAGTCCAAAATTCATATTATTCCCTGCTGCATTTGCTCTGATTCCATTCTGTCTTCAAACTATTACTACACAAATGCATCAACCTCATTGCAAGCATGCTTTACGCTTTTTTCTTGAAGAATAAAGTGTACATGGTTTTTTGTTTTATTGCCTTTCTCCTTTTGATGAATAGTGTAGCTTAGTATTGATTACCTTGTAACAAACTAAGAATATGTGATGTGGACTCTAGTGCTGCTGCCTCGTCTGTGTTAAATAGAGAAAAAAGCCTCTGGGCACTGATTAATTTTTTTAAAAAGTCAAAATTACACTAATCAGTGTGGTATGCTAAATCCCTGACTACTTTAATGTATATAATGTATATATTAATTTCAGTAGGGCAGGCAAGTGATTGAAATGAATTCCCACCTCTTGGGTTTTGACAGACTCTGAAACACTCCCAGCTTCCCACACCTCACAAGAGCAATTACTAGAAAATTAAAAGCTTAGTCCTACAGTTTCAAAGCTTTTTTATTAATTGAAACAAGCTTCCCACCAGCTGTGGCCATCTTTCAGTCGGGTGTAAATTCATAACTGAACTGTGAATTTGTGGTATGACCCTTGGTATACAACCAGCTACAATTATGCATTTCTACTACAAAATGAAAAGACTAATTTTACCATATCCCAAAGAAAGATTGTCCTGGATCTGCTTGCTGGTGTTTATCTGCAGAGTAATCAGAGTTAAAGAACATTCATATTGTCAGTGTCTTTAGCAAAATAAAACAATATCTGTTTCTTCCCGAGGCATTTTGTCTCATGCCTCAGCAAAGAAAACAGCTACACAGTGTGTGTTCCACCTCATCTATCTGTCTGCCATGCCTTCTGGTATTTATCTTTGTCAATATTGCAGCACAAAGCATGTATTCAGGAATTATTATATTTCCAAAACCAAGAATTTGATAGAACATATGATAACATTTTCCAAATAAAGGTAGAGCTAATGTACAGCTAATCATGAACTACACATCAAATTGGACTCACCTTATGTTTAAAAACATATTTTTAAAGTATCTTCTTTTCAGTTTAAGGCTGCTGTACATGTTGATTTGCAAAACTGCAATAAAATGAAATGGACTAGTTCAGGGTTATTTGTGAGGGAGAGCCAGAAAGGTGTAATTTTGTGTTCATGAAAACACAGAAACAGATTTGAATACTGTTGGAGGCCTGGTGATACAACTAGGAAAATAAACACCAACAGAGTATTGTTATTATAGAAAATTTTAACTTTCTATATTTGGACTACACAGCAAAATTTTTGCAAGAATGTGTAGAATCCCCTTCTCCTATATATAACAAATGCCAGATTTCTTTATCAGTTAATAATGGATCCAACAGGAGATTAGTGCTATGCAACTATAGTTTGGATTTTAGTGAACAAGTGTTCTTGCCCTTGAAATGAACCTTTCATTGATTATTGCAATTTTCTTCCATTCAGATTAAAAGAACATAAAACTGCATCTTCAAAGCTTTTCATTTCAAAAAGGCAAATATTCAGTATTTGTGTAAATACAAGTTGATGAAACTGAAAAAGTCCACGCACTTAAATGAGGAAAACACTTGCTGTTCTTTAAAGCAAAAAACTTCTAAAATCTCTGGAACTAATGTTGCACACCATGGAAAAGGAATGCTGCACTTACTGATGAATAATGACCAAATAGGCTCTGGGAGTAAGTGACAGTAGTAAATGAAAAGGCAAATCATTAGCCAAGGAAAGCATATCTTTGATGTCAGAGATCATGTGAGTAAAGTGAACTTTGTCAGAAGTCATGTAGATTTTTACTTTTGAAAAAAATATAGTAGGTGGAAAATGAGCCATAAAAAGGAAGATGGAGAGGAAAGGAAGGAAGCTTCTGTGCAATCAGGATGAGGCAAAGATAATCTAAGTTCACAGTCTAAATGAATGCCTCACCTTCAATAATGATGACTATGAAGAACACAGGTGCAAATGAAGATGGATTGATAGGAATATATATATAAGAATAAAAATTATCATTAAGTGAGATGGTAAACTAAGTAGGACAGCAGAGCAAACTCCATCCAGTCAAAGGAGTTGTCTCTGCTTTGGAAAACTGAAAAGACTGGCATAAAAAATGGCAACACTTTTGTAAAGAACTCTACTGAACAAGATCTCCGTGGAGATGGCATCCTGCCTTTCTAGG